GCAAAATTTATCTGAAAAAAAGGAAAGTTGAGGAAAACCGTTAGTTATAGATATTAAATGTGTTAATATTTTTTTTTCTACCATCAAGAATTTATTTGTTTCGTTAGATTGCGCTTAAATATACCATTGTTTTCCAAAAAAAAGCACTTATATGCCCCAAAGTGTAAAAAAGGGTATATAATTGCTTCGTCTTAAAACTTGGGGTATATAATGTAGCAAATGGTCAATATTGGAGGGCAAATCTATAAATAGGATAGATCTTGGGGTGTGTAGAAAAAAGAAAACTAAATCATTATATGGTATGCACTAATAGGACCATCAAGCTAGCTGTTGCAACATAAAGAGGGTGTTTGGCAATTCGAAAAGTGAAATAAAAATATGTAATTTTTTTTTTTTTCAAATGATTTTTACATCTATGTTAGGATGCAAGTGAAACTAGGGCTGTCCATTTTACCCGGCCGGGCCGGGCCGGGCCGGGCCGGCCACAACGGTCAGATTTGGCCATTTGACCGTTTTGCCCCCAAAAACGGTCAAAAACGGCTATTTTGTGAGGTTGTTTTGGTCATTTGCCTAGGGGGCTGGTTCTATAAATAGAGGGGGGGTTCATTTGTTTTCTTCACACCAAAAACTCATCTCTTCTCTCTTATACTCTTATACTCTCTTATTTATACTTTCTTCACACCAAAAACTCATCTCTTCTCTCTTATACTCTTATACTCTCTTATTTATACTTTCTAATCCTTTCATCAAATGGCTTCCGGATCATACTCTCTTATTTATACTTTCTAATCCTTTCATCAAATGGCTTCCGGATCTGATTATGAAGAACAAAACATATCTCCTGATCCTGAAATGAGTCCTCCTACTATAAGTCCTCCTACCGAAGTTAATCCCGAATCCGGTGACGACGAATCTGCACCAAGAGTTCCTAAACGGCCAAGATCCGATGTGTGGAATTTTTACGAGAAGATCGACGTCACCAAGGATGAACACGGTAGGATCCTCACCCAGAAGGCTAAGTGTGCTTTGTGCGGCAAGATTTTTCAAGCTCATCATAAAAGCGGTACCAACCACCTCAAACGCCATTTAGATAAACACAACAAAGGCCAGACTCCTCAAGGTGATATCCGACAATCCATGATTTCTCAATCCTCCTCTTCTGGTAGTCTCGGTAGTTGGAACTATGACGCTGCCAGAGCCAGGAAATGCGTAATCAGGTTTATCATTCTTAAAAACCTTCCTTTTAAATTAGTAGAAGATGATGAATTTGAAGATATGTTTAGAGATGGTTTTATCCTGTATTTAAAAAATTTTCTCGTCAAACCTGTCAACGTGATATTTTAAAATATTATCAACAGGAACAAGAAAAAATAATTTCTTATTTTAAAAATTTAAACTGTAAATTTTTTTTAACTTCTGATATTTGGACATATAGAACACAAACTGGATATTTGGACATCTAGAGCACACTGGATTGATGAAAATTGGCAAATGTTTAAAAGAGTTATTTCTTTTATTGCAATAGAAGAGTCAATTGGCAAATGTTTAAAAGAGTTATTTCTTTTATTGCAATAGAAGAGTCACATACTGGTGCTAATGTTGTAAATTTAATAATTGAAGAACTTACACATACTGGTGCTAATGTTGTAAATTTAATAATTGAAGAACTTATGAAATTAGAAATTTCAGAAAGAATCTTTCCTCTTTCACTAGATAATGCAAGTAATAATAATGTAGATGTTGATTTTATCAGATCATCTTTATCATTGCCATGTCATGGTGATCTTTTTCATATTAGGTGCATCTGTCATATTTTAAATTTAATTATTCAAAGTGCATTTACTGAAATTAAACCCATGATAGAAAAGGTTAGAACAGTTGCTTACATGCATAGTGCTTCTGAACAAAGACTTAAAAGATGGAAACAATTTTGTAAAAGAAAAAATGTAAAGCCTAGACTAATTCCAAAAGATGTTGACCATAGGTGGAATTCCACATATGCAATGTTAAGTGTAGCAATAGAATATAAAGACATTATAACTGATTTTATAAACTATTATGCTTCTAGTTCTAGTTCTGGTAGCACTTATGGAATAACTGAAGATGAATGGACAGTTATATGTAATTTAAATGAAATGTTATAAGTTTTTTATGATGCTACAATGTTATTATCCAACCATTACTTTAGCTGTTTTACAAATTTTAAATATTCAAAAAAAATTTGATAAATATCGTTTGGATGCTACTTTTGGACCTATGATTTTTTGAAATGGAGAGTAAATTTAATAAGTACTTTAGGCATATTCCTCGTATTTTTGGTTTGGGGGTTCTTATTGATCCATGCTTGAAGGATATTGGCCTTCGAAGTTTGTTACAGTCATTGTATGGTGGACAGGTTATAGACTTAGATGATGGAACCACCCTGAATGCTACTACTCATCATTTACTTATTAGAAATTATTTTCAAACCTTATATGATGAGTATGCAGCTAGACATGGTGTAGTTGCACAACAGTCTACAGCTTCGGTTTCTTCGAGCTCATCCCGAGCCCGAGGTAAAGTGTAAGTTTTGATAGGTATGCACTGGTAGCTGAGCTAACTGGTGGATCTGGACTTGGATCGTCATCATCGGAGGTTTCTGAAATAGATGAATATTTTTCTGCTTCTTTAGTTAGATGTCAAGGAAATGCTTTAGATATTTTGCAATGGTGGAAAGTATATGGATCAGTTTCATATCCTATACTTTCCACCATGGTTCGTGACTTACTAACAGTGCATGTTTCGATGGTAGCTTCGGAATCCGCCTTCAGCACAGCAGGTCGTTTAATCGACGATCACAGGACATGCTTGGATCCGTATACTATACAAGCGGTGATGTGCTTACAAGATTGGTGGTTTATAATTTATGTTATTTTAAGTAATTAATAAAATTATTATTTTTATTATTTTTATTATCTTTTTTTATAATTTATAATTTAAATAACATTAAAAAATATGGGGAAAAAAAAGAAAATCACCCGGGCCAGCCCGGAACCCGGCCCGGTGTACCCGGGTCCGGGTCCGGGTCCCGATTTTGCCCGGCTCGGGCCCGGATTTCCGGGCCGGGCCGGGCCGGATGGACAGGCCTAAGTGAAACACATTGTTTATTTGAAAAACGAAATTATCGTTGAAAGTGAAATGTGAAGATAACGCAGCAAAATAGGATTAATTAGTAATTGTAGTTAAAATATAACTAAAAATGGTTGCTATTTTTGTTGATGTGACTTCACCACTTTTTTAGAGGGATTTAAATTTACGTTAAATCCTAGGTGACAACTTTCTTCCATTTCACTATCGTAACCATTTACATGCAAACAAATACCTAAAATGTTAAAAACTAGTTACTTTCTTATTTTTATCTCTCACTTTCACGCAAACATAACACCCCCAAAACTCATAATACATATTTCACAAGACTATCGTATATGCCTTTTTTTTTTAAATTTTAATGTTAATGGCTTTATCATTAACTTTTTACATCAAATGTAAGCATGTCATGATAAAGAAGAATACTAAATGTTCAATAAAAATAACAATAGATGTTACAATCTATCTCTGGTTGCTTCTTGACTATTCCCAAATTCCCATGGCAATGTGCTCTCATCTTCTTCTCCATATCATCGATCAACAGCTTGACGAAATGGAGCAGAAAGCAAGCAGTGATGATGAAATGGAGCAGGAACTACAAGTCTGCAGCTTTTAGATGAACACTTTTGCATGTGCATTAACTAAGTTTGATAAAACTGAGAGGATATTTGGCAACTTTGTATTATAATCCACTTAGCTTATAATCTGTAAATGGATCACAAATAAGTGGAGTATAAACCAAAATATTTGATAAATCTATTAGATTATAATCTATTTTCAATAGCAGAGTGCTTGACAAATAGGCGGCTTATAGGCCATCATTATTGTTAAAATGACTCGAAAGCATTCAATGGGCCGGATTGGAAAGAGATAAGCGAGACTTGGGATTTTATGAAATGCGAGGGATATATTGAACTTTTACACGGTCAAACCTAATGGCTTATAAGCTACAAAAATTAAGACATCCGCCAAACATGTCAAAATGGCTCATATGCCACAAAAGTGGCTTATAAGAGCATCTCTAACGTTACTCCAAAAAGCCATTTTGACGCCAAAAGAACACCAAAACTGCATCCAACCTAGCGCCAAAACTTGCGCTATTTTGGGGCGTTGCGACAATGTTGCGCCAGGAATGGCGCAACACTGTAGATATGGTGTTTTTTCTTTTTCTCAGTTTGCCCTTAAAATTGGTTATAACAAATCAAAAATTCCAACCATATCCCATTTCATCCATCATATTTCTTATTTGGTGTAAAATTTGGTGTAATGGGTTGGAGATAGAATAGTGATTTGTTGTAAAAACTACACCAACTTGGTGTAAAAACTACACCATTTTTTGTTTTTGGGTTGGAGATGCTCTAAGTCATTTTGACCACTTGCCAAACATGCTCTCAGACTATGGGATGTACATGGTATGAGTGTGGTCAGGGCTAGGAGTGACATTTTGAGGCGATTGTCTAATGTTTGATTGGTGAGACTGTGAATGTATGTATTTTATCCAGACACCAGTATCTTTTGATCAGTATAATGTTTCATAGTGATATTTCTAAGGGGGTGTTTGTTTCAAAAAAAAAATTGGCATTTGTGTGAGATTTCAAATTCTAGGATCAAAAAGTGGGTTTTTTTGGGTTTTAGAATTCCATAAAACTTGGTTGTTTCAAAACAAATTTTAGAATATCAAATCCCAAAAAAAAAAAAAAATATTATATTTAAGGATTTGTGAAATCCTCTTTTTTGGGTGGAGTGCTGCTACGGGAACCTAAAATATGGGACCAAGGAAGGGGACATGTGAGGTGTCCCCTCCCTATTGCATAATGAGTTGGCATGACCAACTCATTATGCAATAGGGAGGGGACACCTCACCTATCCCATCACTTAGTCCCATATTTTGAGTCCTTAAATCATTTTCCTTTTGGGTGGGATATGGGGTAGATTTTAAAAGTGTTAGATAAATTAAGGATTTCAAATTCTAAAAAGTTTGAAACAAATAAAAGTATTACAAATTATAGTATTCCAAATTTTAAAATATTATTGAAACAAATAAAGTTTTAGGAATCTCAACCCATAAGAAATTACCTATAGATTTCAAATCTTATGATGAAATCCATATCCTAAAATTATAGGATTTGAAACAAACACCCCCTTACAGTTCATTAGTTTTCACACTCTCGCTCGACTCGAGAACGGAAATGTTTTTTGGCTCGCGGGGGCCC